GTCTGTGTTGTTTGTGTGTGGTGGTGGCTGTCACTCCTGGCTCCCGGCTCAACCTCCACTCACCTGCTGCAATCAGCTGTGCACCCTCCCCGACTACACACCTGCTTTCCATCAAGCCATTTACAACGGCATATCAACGGAGGCCCCCAACTTTTCCTCCGGCCAGATCGTCAATTATCAGCCGTATCTCGTGTCTCCCCTCCGGTACACAGCACCGTACTGTGGAGTTGCATTAGGTAACGCGAGATACGGCTGATACCTTGCGCACAGTCTGACAGTAACGTTACTATATTATCAATGCTACTTTAGTTATAGCCTGATATATGATAGCTAACTTCACAATGTTGTGATGTGAGGGTTTGCTAACATTCTGTAGCTCAATCGTTATGTACTTATATTACGCTGTAACAGGAATCTAGTGATATCCAAGCAACAGAGCTTCATTTAGCATGAAAGAATTATTGCACTGTTATATATACACACCACCGTGCAATAAGCTTCTTAGTGCAATAAGAAGCTACAGGGACGTTAATCTAACGTCGGTAATATTAACTTTATTTAATACAACATTTACGGTACAAGATTTAATCATACAGCCCATGTAGTATAATATTTTACAAATGATGAATTACAGCAAACATGTGGCAATATATCCATTATTACGGCTCCGTGGGATGGCAGTGAGACGATATGGGTCCGTTGTTATTGTGTATCCATGGGTAAAGATAAACGCATGTAGTGCTGAACCTGCTGAACACGTAAAATGAACGTGCCGGGCGGCGCGGTCCCGTGGGTTAGATGCGCGTTCATAATGCAGAGGGATTTAACTTCAGAATATGTTTTACAACTTGAGGAACGGAATGTTTTTAATAAGCGCTATAAAAGTGTTCATACTGGGTGGTTTATTTAGTTTAAAAAAAGTATCCAACGATTTACAGACCATTCTTTTCCCCATGTAAGTCAATGGGAAAAATTTTTCTGGGCCCAGCAACCTAAAGGAAGTGTAGTACCGCCGTTTGGCCACAACGGATATCTACTCAGAGTCCGGCGCACTTCCTGGGGCTTGGTTACGGCCCGTCCACACAGCGGCGTGCTTTGGCGCTTGGCGTATGAAGCTTGGGGATTTTTTGCGAGCAACCGACCCACATCCAATCACATGAATCTCTCGCCCCCGACATACAAAGCAATAGCAATGTTAAAACGAAGTAAACTGGATATAAAATCCCCAAACAGGCGAAAACCTACCAGTTTCACCAACTGTCTCTGCCACCTCCCTCCATGCCTGGTTCCTCCGGTTTGTATCCCGGTAGATGAACAGAGACTGATCATACAGCACCGGGTGATTCACTACCGCTATAATGAATTTTTCCTCAATTTTTTGGAATATGAGGAAATAAACTGCGTAGTCTCTCCCAGCATACACACATGTGTTAGATTGGCTAGCGCTTGTACTGGCAGATTTGAATAAACGGGATTTCATTGGCTGACGCTTCTGCCGAGGCGCCAAAAGTTGAACATTGCTGAACTTTTGAAGCGAGCAACGCCAGCAACGCGTTGCGTCGCTTCCCAAAATGCAGTTCGGCAAAAAGTGACATCACCCCATTCAAAGTGAATGGTGAAGCGTCAACGCACGCCGCTGTGTGGACGGGCCGATAGCGTATAAAATATACGGCTGTGCCGACGCCTGATGTTCCGCTCAGAGCAAGCCGAAAAAAGCACTGTTACGGCCCGTCCACACAGCGGCGTGCAAGAGCTCCAACGAGCCGTTTAGGACAGAGAGTGAATACACATACTTTACAGAGATGCTGTATGCGAAACCAATGTGAGTTTGGAAATTGCACAGTATTTTAGTATACCTCAACAAGGGAATTATGACCAGTGGAAATGGCCATGACATGTGACCTGAACCAAAAGTGAATTCAAAAGGGAAAATAAACATTTCTGTTCTTCCTAATATTGCTATAGCTTTGAACATGTGGGAACCAGAAGTTTGTGTTGGCATTCATTAATAAAACTGGAATTGATATCAAAGCAAAAAGCTGCCCCAGGATATTATGATCGCACTGTCCCTGCGACGCTGAGTCCCACAACCACTCTTAGCTAGCCCGAGTGGTTGGTGGATTTCAGCATTCTTCTGTACTTTCCCCATATCCCATAGCCATTAGCCATACATGAAGAGGAAACAGGAACCGTTTAGAGATGACTGGCTCTCTGCCAATGAGCCAGGAAATGTAGTTAATTAACAGATAACATTAGTTGACCAGTCTTGTTCTTAAGTCTCAGCCTAAATTATCTTGTGTGTCTCTGCAGGAAAAACTATGGCTCAGTGAGGTAGGATTTTTATTTTCAGACCCCTGACCAAGACACAGAAACAAAACATAGAATGTATATTGGTAAATTCTGCTCCTATTAAGAGACATTTAAGTATTTTGGCAATAGTGACAAAACAAAAAATAGTAATGCAGTATATAGGTTACTGAAATATGTTTTTATTATCAATCACATTTTTCATCGCATCACTTACTAATAAGCATCACTTACTAATCTTCCTGAAGAGTCTCCCTACAATGAAGGCAGCCTATCCCTTTTCCTTTCCAACAAATGTTTCACCTGTCAAAAGTATAATAAGTGGTCTATGTATTACATCTGGTTAGAACATTGAGAGGAAGCAAGGAAGTCCCCTTTCCAGAGTGGATGTAGCAGATTAGGTTGAAGTCCAGTTTTCATCAACCTCACATATTATCTCACCGGATACTAAATCCATGGTCATAGGGCTAATTTCCTGTTAACAATCGACAGCTCTTAGTGTATTGTCACCAGGCAAACTCATGTTATAAGAACTGGCTTCGACTGTGGGACAACATAACAAACTCAACCATTTCAACTTATAAGTTTTGTTTTGTGAGCTCCTGTGTTTAAGGTAAAAAAAGGCTCAACACAAACCACATGTAAACCATTTGGTAAATATCTTTAAGTGTGTACTTATTATTATCAAACCACAACCTGTTTTGGGGAGCAACAGTAAACGGTCCTTTCATTGAAAAAGGAGTAGGTTTAAATGAGGAGCAGAGCAGAAACACATCCCCCATTTCCCTGTATAAAACTGCCAGGCACAATTGTCATGGCTGTTAATACATCTCTTTATAATAGAAACACACACACAATGGCTGACTGCTAAATCTGTGTACAACAGATTAGATTTGATGTTTAAATAGTGTATTAGTGGGGGAGGCATGTGGCACAGTGGATAGAGCCTTGGTGTTGGGATCAGGGGAGCACAGGTTCACTTCACCCCAAAATTGCTCCTGTGGGGATTGCCCACAGTATTGAGTATGTAAGTCACTTTGGATAAAAGCGTCTAACAAGTAACATTTAATGTAATGTAATGTATTATACTAATTACAACTCTGAGTTCCACAGCACTGGCCCTTTCCATCTATTGTCCTTTTTTGTAACAATTCAAATGGAGTTATGTAGCATTATGTGAACATTTTGGGTCTGATGTAACTATTTTACACTATTGAGATAATTTGATTTAGTGAAGGTTATACTGTATACCATTCCATGTCTGTTTTGGAAAATGTGATTGCTGAGTATTATTCCCATAGACTGTTAGCGTGTGTGACATACAGTAGTTGATGCTGACCCTTGACATCCCTCAGGAGAGGGTTTAATTCCATTTTGTAAACTGATGTGACATTATGAAAACAGATGTGCATTTTCACGCAGACCCTGGGGGGCATTTGCTCAAATTTACTTAAGGTATATTTGCGGCTGTGTGGCGGTGCTCTGAACTTAATGCTTACAGCATGAAGTTAATATTGATGGGTATGCGATCAGTATCGCAGGTGTTTGGATACATATATGATAATGGGATCTCAGCATCTGGTTCACAGTCAGAAATGTCATTGTTAACACAGACAGTTGGAGATGGAAATATTTGGGAATCCATGATTCACATTGGTAGTTCTCTGGAAAAATAACGTTTGTTTAGGTTTCTGACAAAACCTCAGTTTCTTTGGAAATTCTGAAAAAATAATACTCAATATGTGAGGGACACCCACAGGAACTGACTAAACTTCATAATAACGGTCTTTTTAAATTGATTAACATCCTGTTTTTGTGTTTGTGGTTAGACATGATTGGAATGAGGACAAGAGCTCCAAAATCGACTGAAGGCAAGATGGTGAACGGGAGGGAGACACTGCGTCTTCGCTCAAAGGGGTCTGCAACAGTTCAGGAAGTGGTGAGTTTCATACACTCTGCTCAACAATGACTGTGTTACTTCCTGATGTACTCTGTTAGTGACATGTGTACACATATGGTATACAGTACGTAAATACGCAAACATACACAAACACAGACGTTTTGTAGATAATTAAACAACATTTTGTTAAATTATTCTACAGCTGATCTTTCTTTATCTTAAACATGATCTGATTGAAATGTTTGGCTATGCTGAGTCTTGCTAACATATTCCAATGGGACACTATAGAACTGAAAGGACCTGAGATGAATGCCCGAGTTGACCTTGGTCACAAGCACAGTCACACATTATTCTGCATTAAACAATGTCTCTCTCTTTCTTAGCTTGCCGGAAGTGACCTTTGTACACCAAATTATTCCCACTTCCAAAACTTCAATGTAGGATGCTTCACATTACATCAAACTCTGAAGGGAATCCACAATAACACTTAGAAAAACGTATTTTAGGGGGAAAATGTTTACAAAAAGGAAAAAAAATAAAAATAGAACATTTGACCGCAGTGAACACTTACCAGCAATACTCAATTTCAACTATTAACGTTCATATATTTATTTAACATAAAGACAAGTTATAAACAACAGGCCAATATATGCTTGGCTCATACACGTTTTGGTAGTGGAAGATATGCTTGTCCATATTTGGAGTACAAGCCCTGCACATTTTCCACTAACACCTCTGTATTTTCCTGTTCCATCTGCCAGCAGAATGAGTTTGAAGAACGGGCCACCAAGAAAGTGGACGACCTGCTGGAGAGCTACATGGGCATCAGAGACCTGGAGCTGGGTAACGCCTGTCTCCTTTAAATATAAATCACCTTTAAATCCATGTTTAGATGTAAGGATGTGAGCCATTGGATGTTCACACATCCAGGAGTGAGTGGGGATACTATGGACTGTTTCTTAGGGTTGTAAAAAAACTGGCAAACCCACTTGTTCTCCGGCATGCTGAGATAGACCAGGACCAGCACACTTCAGGGCAGGTCCTGAAAGGAAAATTCCTCCTGAGAATTTATACTCACCACAAATAAACTGTAATAATTAACTGTACCACCAGGGAGATATTGCATTACTTGCCTTTTTTTGAGTACTTCAGTTTCCATTAACATGTTATACCTGCATTACCAGCATTCAGTGTTTTGTTGAGGTGTAAATAATAACGATAGTTATACGAGAGTAATATTTGTACTCAGTCAGGTCGGTTTGCATTGAGAGGTCATGCGTATCGTTTCTTCCTTGATTGAGCAAACTCCACCTGCTGCGGAAGCCTTAAAAAAAAAAATGTAATTCAATAACAATAGTGCATAGAGATGAAAAATAATTTTCAGCATCAGTTAGGTGCTATTTACTTTAATTCCTACAGAAGATCACAAAAGGAGAAAGCCATCTCCTTGTTAAGGGTCTTTGGAAGAACTTTTTTTTTTTAAGGGCTCATGGGGCTAATCTGATATTCTTCCTGTTTTCCTGATCCAATCATTAATCCAACAGAAATTGTTTGGTTGAATATTTTCATCCAAATATTGTTGGAATGTCATGGTTCATTTTAAAATAATGGTGAGAAAAAAAGTGATTTATGCTCAGGATGTGTGTGTAGCGAGGCAAGACAAGATTGCTTGCAAATGTCTATTGTTGACCTAATGAAACTACATCAAGTTTTATGCATCACTGGGGGATCCAGCCACCCTTTCACTTTCAGGCACAAAGGAACTGGCTATAATACAAACCCTCATCTTGAATCACATCTGTCCTGTCCCTTCTTTTCTGCAGCAACCACCATCGTGGAAGCGGGCAGAGACAAGAATAACCCCGACGATTTTGCAGAGGCCTTGGACTCAGTTCTGGGAGATTTTGCTTTCCCTGATGTGTTTTTGTTTGATGTATGGGGAGCTATCAGAGATGTCAAGAATGGCAAGATGTAGACATTTACCATACTGTATATTCACATGATAGAGGGAGAGGCACATGAGAACATTACAACCCAAATATATGCACAGATAGACGGGGTGTATCCAACTGCGAAAATAATTTGTACTCTTTAATTTTTAATCACTTTCTTTGAAACCATGTCAGTGACTGCAATTTATTCAACCATTTCCCCTTTGAACAGTAAAATTACTATAATTTGCCCAAAAGCAGATCATCGCTATTAATGTTATAGGTTTAGAAAAATCTTTCAGTATCGTTTTTAAATACATTTGTATAGAGTGACTCAAATATTGAAATAACCTTGTATGGTGTTGGAATTTAGCTGATGATCTAGTTCAGAAAATAAGTTGTAAATTGTAGGTCTACAAAAATACAATCTTATTCTAATTCTGATTAAAGACAAAAGTTAAAAACATGTTTTGGGGGCTCCCTTTCTCGTAAATGCATAAAACATTATGTAAAGAGTCATTCAAGTCCACAACACGTCAGGAAACACAACTTCATAACAGAGGCCAATCAGCCGGACATCTGGGAATCAAGGAAGTTAGATAAGGAAGTTCACTACAATAAATCTTTCTCCTTTGATGAAACCCAGTGGGGAAAACAGGAGACAAACAACGATACATCTTTGCGTCATTGGAAAGTCAGAATGTCTTACAACTTTTCAATTATTAACAATCAAATCCAGCTATGATCTTTGTGCAGGATTTATAACTTGTACTATCATTGCACCAGGTTATCATTATATTTATCAGGAATTGGTTTCTGTTTCAGGCTTTTTGAAATTAACAAGTGGCCCCATTGCAGAAAGATATCATATTTGTAATCATCTCATTTATATTGACTGATCTGAATTTGAATTCGCAAATAACACTAATTTCAAGAAACTTACCCAAATTGTGATCTCACACAGGAACCATGCCCATAATGTACAAACATTTCCAAAACAACCTCAAATAACGTTTGCTGATGTATGTGTCATGCATTTACATGCATCATTTTGCCTAAAATCTGTATGTATAAAGGTCATTATGCTCATGATAAAATAACATTGTATCACATATTAACTTGCTTCCCACTTTTGCTATGAGTTCACAGGAAATTCTTTGTTTCAAGTAATGTAAATATGCTTGACCAGTTTATGACAGTCTTTATACTTGACTTTGTTTCAATGTATACTCTCACCGCATTGAGGCATCAAATTACATCTTAGATTTGGACAATTATATGTTTTCTCACTCAACAAACAATGTGAAGGTATAATGTCATATTATTTAAATGCAGGTAAGTAAACGCTGAAATGCAGTTGGTCTTAACTATTTATTTAGGTTAAACTTGTTCAACTAAATCTGCATTTGTCTGGTTTTGTTTCACCACTTTGTTTATGATTGCATCTTTCTATTGAGACATTAAAATGCATGGCAGACTTCACATGTTTAAATTGTAAAAATATTCAAAATAAGTTATCAAGCCTGTGTTTTAACAGAAAAGTCATTTTAAAAATATTTCAGATGTTCTGCATTTCACTAATCCTTTATTTATATGTCCAATCACATGTCAACCACATTCAACATTTACACTTCATTGTCACCGGATGATACAAATAAGGAGTTAAAGCAAAACACATTTGAGCTGTTATTAGATATTGGTTTGGTGATTTAGTGGCACATTGATATGAGTGATACAATTTATAAAAGATCAGTGTGACTAATGTAGGTAAATTAGAAATCACAAATAAAGAATGTAATAAGTTTCATTATATTAAAATACAACCAGTGCATTTAAATCTATTACAATACAGCTACGATGTTTGTAATTTAACTTCCCAAATGATCCGGCTGAATTTGGATTCATCCAACAAACTAAACTAAATCCTTCCCTACTCTGTTCAACGTTTTTCCAATCACACTTACACAGTTACATTTCAAAGTTCTAAAGTACTAAAGATGTGTCTAACATTCACAACATAAACTTTGCATTTGCAAGTTCTGCATAAATATGTATCTTTGTTATGATAATCACATTCTCATTGGCATTGCTTTATTCTGCAGTTATTTCTCTTCTGACAAACATTAATGTGGCCATTAATGACATGCATGATTGAACCAGAGGATCATATTCAAATCTACAGAAAAACTACAAGTGATCATTCCAAGATCTGCAAAGTTTGGTTTGAATAATGTGAATCAGCAGAAAAAGTATTATATTAAGAATACAGTTCTTAGGGGGCCTAAGCTAAATTTCAATTTAGTCAAAGCTATTTTCTACAAGATTAGGATCATTGTTGGATGCTCTGGGGATCAACTGTTCCACCGTCATAGTTCCTTCAACATACAAAGTTGTCTCCAAACAGTTTCAGGGTAAATATTTTCAGAAAAGGAACAAAACATGAATACACACTTTAGCATGAACCTTAAATCATAGCTAAATACCTATGTAAATGTATGGGACACTCAAGAGCAACGGAGCAAATTACAAGCTTAAGATATATAATGTCCTACAAGAAAAAGTACATTTTTAAAACCTCATATATCATAATACACATCTGATGGAGCAGAACACCGAGAATGAGCAGTGCATCTCTGTGGTTACAGAGACCGATTGTATCCATCTTTTAAACCTGAATATGTTTCCAATTAGCCACTGTTGTATTCTATAAACTGCTCTAAATTAAAGTGTCATTGCTAATACTGCTAAAACTTTCAGTGCTATGCAAAAAATAACAAAATTACAAATTGTTCATATTCTGTTTCTTATTCTGATCACAGTATTGGTATTTTGAAGAGCTTGAAAACACCATCAAACACCTCCAGTTTCCACAACAATATCACTCAGCTGGCCGCAAAACCCAAATCCAAACAATCACGGAGAAGGAGGTGGGAGGTTAGATTTCCGCCGGTCTCCTGCGGTTTCCTGGTTCATGGTGCTCCGTAGTGAGGAGCGGGTAAACCTTCGGAAAGTGTCGCCAAAAGATGGGGGCAAAGACATGATGGAGCTGCGAGACCAGTCGAGGCGGGGGGCGACTCTTTTAAGCATGGCTCTTCGGCACAGGATGTAGACCCAGGGATCCAGGATCTGGTTGAAGGTGGCGAAGCGGAGCCACAGCAGCAGGTATTTGATCTGGAGAGGTCGTCCGGACAGCACAGTTTGTGCAATAAAGACCTGGTGGGGAAAGGGTTTGAGTGGGGATATGGATGAAGGAAAAGAGAGGCAAGATAAAATGGAGTGAGGAAGGAATGAGATGACATGATATGGTAGGTTTAAAGAAGGGAAGTAAAATAGTTCCAGGAGAGAAAATATGTTAATGACAACAGACAGCAAAGGTTTTGAAGGAGAGATGAAGTAGGGAACAAGAGGCAAAAGATGAAAATGGTTAATATTGCAAATGCACACAGACACATACACATGTGTTAGGTCTACTGAGGGAAATGGCTAAAATATATTTTGCCATGGCAGTCCTGAAGTAATGGCTGTTGCAGCACAATTGTCCCCCTTGCTTTACTAAAACTGCTGCATTTGTGAGGCATAGCCTTATAGAGTGGTGCAGTGACGAGTCCTAAAACCTGGAAGTGAGGTAGCATTTTACCACTACCGGTTCCCTTGTCTCAGAGTCAATATTTGAATATCAATCCTAAATTGGCGTGACGTTGAAGTTCGTTTATAGCATAACGTTAGCATTTTGCTTCTGGCGATTAGATTTATGATTCGAAAATTATAAAAGTAGGGTAGACATTGTAGTGACCACTCATTAATACACTGGATTACATAATTGTTGCCCATGCCTTCATCGGCCCGTGGGTGGCGCGCTTCGGGACCCTGTCTGACCTCTTCCCTCGCCTCGACAGTTTCGGACGTCGCTCATGCCTTCATCGACCCGTGGGTGGCGCGCTTCGGGACCCTGCCTGGCTTCTTCTCTTACCGCGGCTCACGGTTCGCCTCGACGGCGGTTTCGGACGGTGTGCTGTGCGTTTTCCTGTGGCTGGGTTGCTCTCCTTCATTCTGGGGATACCTCGACGCCTGCTGAGGACTTAGTGCCCGCCGCCGCTGCGCGTCTGCCTGCGGCCGGGCTGCGCTCCTTCCTCCCGGGGAGACTGCTCCTGACTTCCGGGGATACCTCGACGCCTGCCGAGGACTTCGTGCCCGCCGCCGCTGCGCGTCTGCCTGCAGCCTGCAGCCTGCAGCCGGGTTGCGCCCCTTCCCCCCGGGGAGGCTGCTCCTGCCTTCCGGGGATACCTCGACGCCTGCCGAGGATTTATTGCCCGCCGCCGCTGTGCGCCTGCCTGCGGCCGGGTTGCGCTCGTTCCTCCCTGGGATTCCGCTCCGTCCTTCCGGAGATTTCATGCCCGCCGCCGCTGTGCCTTCACCTGCGGCCGGGCAGCGTTCTTTCCTGCTGGGGACCACCGGGATGTTCACGCCCATCCCCACGTCTCGGCACAGCGAACCAGCTTTCTACGTCTGGTGGATGTGTTCATTCGCCACGACACCTACTGCGGCCCCCTTAAGACGCACCCGGTGGGGATACCCTCGCCCTTGTTAGGGCCCCTACCCTCTCCTGCGACCCCACCCTCTTCGGCCCCTGTGGTGCTTCCTCCCGGACGCGAGGATTTTGCCATGTTTGAATTCTGGGGGGGCTTGTGTTCACACATGGAACTACAGTTGGGGGTATTGTTCCAACACGGACATGTTATGTGTTATCTATATATATTGTGTGCCCTCCTGGTTTCTCTCTCTTCTTCCCGGACTGCAACCGGACAACATGACATTTGCTGCTCCCAAATAAAGTACCCCTTTTGCACCTTCATTGCACCGCCTCTGACTCCCTATCTCTCGGCACTACAACATGTGGATATTATCCGGCTGAACAAAACGTGCATTTATCTAACAGGTTAGTTTTCCACAGACCTTATATCGAGCTATTTTCCAAAATCCTATGGAGAAATCCCATTGCTTTTTTGTCGAGGGAACTGTTCTTATAGAGTGGCGAAGTCACGCCCATCTACTTCCGGTCCATGGGACCTTATTTCGGAAAAATTATGTATTGAAGTCAATGGAGAGAGAAAACTTATCTTTCGATCCCGTTTGAATTGTGTCATGAATTACACATGATGTTTGTCAATCTTAGTTCAATCTAGTCATAACTGATGTCCCAATTGTTTTCTTCCGCTAAATATAACAGATAGCTAAGATAAGATAACTTAAACAAGACGCCTGTGTGCTTAGTACCAGGTTGTTAGCATTACAGTCTTAGCCTTGTCGTTTTTATTAGCCTTGACATGAAGTAACATCAAGTAACCCAAAATGTTAAACAGTAAGAGTGGTAGTCATATTTCATGAACCCTTTGAAGAGTACTGTCACACCGGTGTGATCATTCTATAAGACACCATTTAAGCCCGGGGGAGAAATGCTAACGCTACATTAGCCCCGGCGATGTGTTCTACTTCATGCTATCTGCACAAATGGTTGACATTAAACATTAAAAAGATCAGGCAGTTCAGAGAGAATCAAAGGAAGGCAGGCAGGCAGCTTTGCATGACATTCTTCTGGACGTTTTTCACTGCCAAGGCACACA